ATATAAAAATATCCTTAATTTGAAAAGCATGACTTATATTCATTTTTTTACGAGTTGATCACGGATTGATATCAGTTAGAGAACCATTGAAAACATTCCAGGGAGTACTGGACAGCTGCTATTTCATCCTAGTTTGTTATACGAGCTTGCCTTGTAAGCAGAAGGGTCCTGGGTTTGAATCCCAGTGCGTGCGTACTGCCTATGACTCTCAAACCAGGATGAAACAGCAGCCGTCCAGTACTCTCTGGAATGTTTTCAATGGTTCTCTAACTGATATCAATCCATGATCAACTCGTAAAAACATAAGTAGCCCTTACAAACCAAACTATAGAAAATTATATTTATTTATTATTTTATTTTGATACAGCTTGATTCCACACCGTAATTTTTGGTACATGTATGGAATTACAGGATGTGATATCGGTAGACCAAATTTTCAGGCCAACCATTGATATCAGATATGTGTGTCGCAGGGGATTTAACCCCGGACCATGTGCATGGTCGACACCAGTTCTAACCGTTGTGCCACCGATGCACACGTGTTTGTATATTACAATTTTCACATTCTATCTCTATAGAGATAAGTTGAATACAATGGAACTTCATAAGTCGAATGATTCGATAGCTGAATATAATTCTGATATCATGAGGTGTAACACAAATTGTGTGAAATGAACTGAAAGTGGTTCTTTGACTTATGTTCATATAAAGGCATTTCCATCGCATATATATCAGCCGTAGGGATGCATCACTTGTCAGGTTGACCTTTCTCTTCATAGTTCAAAGATAGGTATAGCTGGAAATAGCTTACTGCTGTCACCCCAACTCCACCCCCCCCTATTCGCCAACAGTACAATTCCCACCTTAAACATTCAAAAGTGTATTAACGACTAAAAAGTCAATCTCAACAAAGAATTTTCTTTTCAATAATTTCTCTTCAGGTCCTTGTAATTATAAAATATAGTATTTATTGCTGTGTGGAGGTCAACAGCACTCAGCATCAAAAATAAGATCCGCTCTTCAACTCCAATGTGAAGTCAATGCTACCATACGGATCAGAGACTGGTGCGTCATAAAGAACATCTCAAACAAACTTCAGACCTTCATTAACAGTTGTCTTCACTCAATACTCAAGATCAGTTGGCCAGCCAGAAAAGATCAGCTACAGGGGTCTCAGGGAGCAAACCAACTCAGCAGGAACCGATTGTGAAACAAATAGGCAGGAAGAAATGGAGATGGATTGGCCGGTCATACTCTAGGAAACCATCAATCAAGTGACATCACTAGACAAGCCGTCGCTCGAGTAGAACCCGAAAGGGAAGCGACGAGTTGGTTGTTAGTACAAGGTGACTTGGGGGAGGTCATGTGAAGAGAAGATGAAGGCATGTGGGCAGACTTAGAGCGGGGTGAAAAAGTTGGCAGAAAACGGAAGGCAGTGGAGACGCGCAGCTGAAGCTTTATGTTCTTCTAGGAATTAAAGGATATAATAATAATAATATTTATTGTCGTTGCAGTAATGGCCAGTTTATACGGCGGATACATTTTTAACGTAGAATAACAGATTAGTTATGGGATGTCAAAATAACTAGTCGTATATGTGTGACAAACGTGTTGATAGGATGAAATCGATTACCAAAATATTGTAAAACAGGAGACAATGGTGGTGATTAATCGTCATAATAGATTTGTAGAGTGTGTGGTAGGAAAATTGACAAATCAGTTCAAGGTTATAAAAGGTGTCGGGATGGCTAGTACAAAGTGGTCTGTGTTAAACAGGAGATAGTAAGGCTGCATTGAGACGTTCATAATGAAATAACGAATGTTGTGAAACGGAACAGGCGGAGGCATATTGGTGAAAAAAGAGGTAATATTAGTAATAATAAGTCCGGACAGTATAAATATATATTTCGATAATATTGAGAGGATGTTTGAACGAAGAGTATCAATTATGACGAATAATAATAATTGCAATAATATGCAAGGTAGAAGAGAAAAACCAAGAGGGTTAAGGGAAAGAAGCACTCTTCGTGAGAAGAAAAATCATCAATCCAAGTTTGACGACGGTAGGAACAGCGTCTGGACGTGTTCTTTTGGATACAAAATTCCAGTCTAGTCGATCTTATTGTAACGGCTTCAGCTATGTGTAGGAGACGTAAGCGAACTGTACGTGATAGCGACTTCGAAATTCGGTAAATAACCCTGAAGGCTTTGTTGACATCGATGCGATGTCCAGTATCGACCAAGTGTGACGCGAACGAGCTTTTTATGCACTTAATTTTCTCCCCACCCTGCTGAACCAAGCTGGTAAATGTTCTCGAACCTGTCTAATCGTGCACCCTGTATAACATGAACCACAGGAGCAGTTGAAATGGTATATGCATGAAAAAGAGCCTAACACGACGTTTGTCACACAAATACGACAATTTATTTTGACACCCCATAACTAATCTGTTATTCACGTTAAAAAATGTATTCGTCGCATAACTGGCTGTATTTTTTGTAACCACTACAGTTATATTATATTTTGTAATTGTAAGAACCTGAAGAGGAGAAATTATTAAAAAGGAAAGTCTTCGTTCAAATTGACTTTTAATTCATGGGATATGGGAATATCTCACACTATTAAGTATTAACGACTTATCCTAGAATAGTAACTGCTTTTAATTTAATCTCTGTACAGAGTGTCATCATCCATTTGATCTGTAACCTTTCATATTTCTTTCTAACATTACCCATTCTGTTTCACCTTATACTTGTCAGACTGTATTGATTCTCTTCACTCATCTTCTTGTCTACCTCTGTGTGCTATTTGGAACGTGGCAACTCGAACTGGTGGACTTCGTGCGAAGTTTATGTTGAATCCAGACAGACAGACATCATCCATTTGATGATAGTACCTACAGAAAGAAATTGAATCCCAGTGGTTTATATACAAGGATGACTTGAAAAACACTCTTCTTTAACACAACGATTATGGGATTTGTCGGGTATTTGCATAAATTTCAATTTTTAGATTTCATCGCAAACCAACGTTATTTATAGAAATCACATTGGACAGCTATTTCCTCCTAGTTTAGTAAGGTGAGCAATATTGAAGTTAGGCTTCGAGTTCTAGGTAAGCAGGGGAAATCAATCGACGAGCTTGTGAAGTTACATCGACTGAGATGATTAGAACATGTGTTACGTATGCCCGCCTAGTCATCGCCTTCCTCGACAATGGGCAATGTTAGCTGATATAGGGTCAGGCTGGAAAAGAGCTAGAATGTGGTGGTCAAACCAAAACATGGCTTCATTAGTCAGTGAAATCTACAACAGTTAGTTTAAGCTAACCACGTAGGAAGGTGTAGACTTCCTGACTGGTTTGGGTCCCCGGACGGTAAACACCGATGGTTGGAAACAATTGGTGATATGGCTCAAACTCATCGTTCTCCATGGCTGGCGCAGATGCATCCATTCCCTTTGACTTATGATTTCCAATGAAACTGTTTTGTTCTTCGTTATTACTATTTCTTTGTCTCACACCTCTGTTTACTGTCTTTGTTATGCATTTGTTCTACTTTTCTCTGTTGCTTTGTGTGGTTACAAGGAGGGTGAGTGGCGACTTGAACTGGTGCACATTGGTGCAAAGTTCTATGTCGAAAACAGACAGACAGACCTAGTTTATTACTCTTCAGTAGTGCACGACTACATAACCCTACCAGGGGTCGAACCCGGGACCTTCAGGTCATGCCACCAAGGTGATTGACTATTTAGCCACGTTGGCTGAAATCCAGTAGGATGTGAGTTTCAGCCTTCATCACTTCGTGGTATAGTGCTACTCTCAATCAATACGGTCGATGAGCGACCCCAATACTGGTTACAACATCTTAGTACGCAGCTTCAAGACATCCATCCATTAGGCATCACCAATCAGCTAGAGATTGACTATTTAGATTATAGGAATTTGGAAATTTGAATTTATCTCGATTGTCGGATCTCACATTGCTGTAGAGTCTCACTAAAGGACGAGATGGCAGTCAAAAGCTCACTGATTGTGATGTAGTTGTGTTCTCCGAGCTGGCTGGCTGGTTTATTTGCGAAGCTTTCATTGCCCCCCCCCCCTTGCTAGGCAACATCTTCCTTGAGCGCATACTTCAATTTGAATTGAAGTGAGCTCTTAGATCTCTCCACGATTTTATTACTCATCTCTCCTGGTGGTGGTGACCTTCAACGTGATTGGTTGTCTTTGTGTGTTTTCACACCCTCTAGGCTACTTGAATTGGTATTGATTGTTTCTTTGACCTAGAGTTTGACCTTTTGTGCGTGAGATTTCCTTCTTATCGATTGGTAAATTTTGTCTATGTCTATTAATTGATGATTCAGTGGAATACGAGGTAGGCTTTTAGAAAAATCTTTAGCATTCTTGGTGTTTCCTCTGTGTAATATTTGAATGCTGGTTGTCCCAGTGCAATTGATGTCCGTCGTTGTCTGTATGCAGTGAGGCGATATGAGAAAGGGATTGGATGTGATGTCTTTCGATGGCTAGTTTATGTTCATGGAATACAAAGATGAAGGGGACGTTTTCCGCTTTGGCGAATGTAGTGTTTTTTCGCAGTTGTTGCAATTTATATTTTGTAGATGATGTTGGTTTTTATCTTCTTGAAAACACACACAAAAGCAACCAATCACGTTCGAGATCACCAGGAGAGATGATTAATAAACTCATGAAGAAATCTAAAAAGCTCACTGCAATTCAAATTGAAGTATGCGCTCAAGGAAGATGTTGCCTAGTAAGTTGGGGCAACGACAGCTTCTCAATAAACCATCCAGCCAGCTCAGAGAACACAACCACATCAAAGTCATCCACCTGAGCTACAAATCTTCTCCATCATGTCTATCTCCTTGATTTTCATTGATCTCTCCTGAAATGATGTTATTTCATGATGCATTTTTTAATTTATTATTATTTATCTAGTTGATATTTATTTTTATTATTTTTTTATTTCCATGTCTGTTTCTAGGATGGTCATTATGTGGCGCATATTAAACGATCATTCTTAGCCAAATGTATTCCACATGAACCACCTGTATATCATGTTGGCTCACCAATCTGTGGTGGCAGCGATCAAGAATGGATAATATTCAATGATGAAAAAGTCGCCAAAAGTGAATGTCCACCGCATCGGCATGCTTATCTCTACTTTTTCCGACGTATAGACGCTGACACAGACACTGCTGCTGCTGCTGCTGCCACTGGTACAATGACGGTGACAAATTAAATCTGCTTGCATATCCACACCCGCTGCCCCCCCTCGTACTTCGAGTTGTTGCGCTTTAGATGTGACTTTATCAGCGCTCAGACAAACAAACAAACATAAAAATAGTTTTTGTTGTTGTTGGTTTTTATTTTTATTTTTTTGTCGTTTGTTCTGTTATTCAGTGGACAATTTGCTTGTTACTTGCTGCTGGTTAACACGTTTGTTCACCAGTGCTTGCCTCTTTTTCTTCTTCGATTTTTCTGTTAGGATTTCGTTGTCTTCCGCCTCCTCTTCTCCATTTTCTCCTTGCTGTTCTTCTGATAACGATCAATTCCAACTTTTTTTTTGTAATCAACAATTTGATATGATCCACACACACACACACACACATATTTGATGAGATATTACAGAAAGATTAAATTGTTTGATAAAACAAGCAATTCAATTTGCTTAGTTCTTAAAAAAGAAAAACGGAAGAAAGTGATGCATTGGTCTGCCTGTTCCCGTTTTGTTTTGTTGTGTTTGATCTTAGTATTATTTTTGTTTTCGGTACATCTGATTGAGGGTGTGGATGGACTTCGCTCCGCGTCTTGAAATACTCTCATGTATTGGGTGGGTGTGTGTGTGTAGCCATTCACCTTCATAGCGTCTTCTGTTCCAGGTAAGTTTTACTAACTGCCTTCCAACTGAGAATATAAACGTCTGGTGCTGCTTACAACAACTGGACTGATGGACATGCAGGTTTGCGTGTAACAACAGAAGACAAGGGCCAGACAACAGATTATTTATTTAGGAAATTGACACATACTTATATTGCATGGAGGATTTCATCATGAGCTGACATCATAGTTAGAGAACCATTGGAGAACCAGTCAAGGAGTACTGACAGATAGCTGTTCCATCAGTCTGATTTGGGACTCTGCTTCAACAGTACGCACCCACCCAGCTGGGGTTCAAACCCAGGACCTTCTGTTACAAGGCTGGCGAACTAGCTCGTACACCATTGACCCACTGGGACCCAATCCAATGGCCAGCCAATAAATTCTAACTTCTGCCAATTCATGATATAGCGCGGCCATTTCGCAATGTCTTCTGCTTCGATGAGTTACTGCCTCATCTTCAACCTGCTGTACCTCCTACTGGCCACGGCTTCCCACTAGAACTCCAGATTAATTGGATCAGGTTCCAGTGAGTGGCTCAATGGTCTATGAGCTCACCAACCGTGTAACCAGGAGGTCCTGCTGGGTTTGAACCCCATGGTGTGGGTGCGTACTGCTGAAGCAGAGCACAGTGGTTAGGACTCTCGCCGACCATGCACATGGTCCGGGATTCGAGCCCACGCCGGCGCACACTTGATATCTATGGTCGGCCTGCGAAATTTGGGCTACCGATATCCATGCTGAAAATTCCATACTTGTACCAAAAATACAGTGTGAAATCAAGCTGTAAATCAAAAATCAAAAAACCAAACTAGGCTGACGAAACAGCTGTCCAGTACTCTCTGACTGGTTTTCCAAGTGGTTCTCTAACTGTGGTGTCAACTCCTGATGAAATCCTCCATTCAATCAAACAAATTCTCTACAAAACCAATACTTGAAAATAATATTTATATATTTTCATGTACATTATTATAGATTGTTGTAAGCAAACAAACAGTTTGTCGGTGAACGTTAATGTTTCACCTCTCTGTGGCCGTTTCTTGAAGATCAGATTATCTATCTGAAAATTGTATCCTTCTACGAAAAGTCTGCTGTGATTGATTGTTGAGTCAGTCTTTGTCATTCTTTCATGATGAATATTGGGGACGTACACATTGACGTAAATTACTGTCTACCAATTTGGCTAGCAGCCAGCCCTCACCACATATCTACCACCCAAAAAGAGCTGTGGAACACACTGATTCCAATTGATATCTATGGTCGGCCTGCAAAATTTGGGCTACCGATATCCATGCTAAAAATTCCATACTTGTACCAAAAATACAGTGTGGAATCAAGCTGTAAATCAAAAATATAAAAAAAAAATAAAACTTGGGCACTGTGGCGGTAGAGTATAACCCCATTATGGATAAGATTTTATTTTGATAAATCACACAGTGTTATACTGTTTAACACTGTGTGATTTCTTAAAATAAAATCGTATCCATAATGGAGTTACACTGATTCCAAACCGATATGGTGTACACTGATGATGCGCCCCGGAATCAAGGACCAACCGTATGGTGTGTATATGAACCTGTTTTGGTCACTGACAATCATGGGAACGTAGTTACTAACCCACTTGACGCTGCCCGCCACTGTCTTGTGTCAAGAACAGACTTCAATTCCCTTAATCCAACTACCACCCCTGCTTCTGTCTTGATATCAGGGCAGTAAGTGTCCCCCAGTCCATGTGCTGCATCTCCTAGTGCCTATAACCATAAAAAGTTTGTGTTTTAATACCAGTGCTAGAGGAGGTCATCTGTGAGTCTTGATGGTCCACAATTGGTAACGTCCATGATTGCAGTACTGTTGTTCGACACATGGGTACGAATCTTGCAGATGATATATGACAAGTGCCAAAAAACCAAGAATATTGGTCAGGTGGGATGGGAGTTTTCTGTTGATTGTCTTCAACCATCTAACAGCATTTCAAGGGTGCGCTGCTATGGCTATTCATCTAACTCCCTAGCTCGGTGATCACATTGCAAACTTCACTGATAGCATTCGGTCAGCAGCCTAGCTTTGATTTACTGTCTTGTGATCAGTCAATGTATAGGTTCCTCGTGTACCAGGAAGACTATATGAGGCATACGTGTTTTGAATGAGAGCTGATTAAATGCCATCTAGTTAGTCACTTAGTTATCCAGTCTCTGAAGATGACAGATGGAGATTTACAACTGTCGGATCAATTGACTGAAAGTTGAATACTTAAGTCAATGAAGACTTCCTGGTTGGGATCTTCGGGACGGTAAAAACCAATCGTTAGAAACAATTGGTGATATGGCTCAAACTTACCGTTCTCTATGGCTGGTTCACAGATGCATCCACTCCTTGTGACTTATGATTTTCAATGAAACTTTATTGTTCTTCGTTATTGCTATTCCTCTTGTCTCACACTCTGTTTACTGTCTCTGTTATGCATTTGTTCTACTTTTCTCTGTTGCTTTGTGTGGTACAATGGTGGGGGTGGGTGGGAGTGTGGCGACTTGAACTAGTGCACATCGGCACAAGGTTCTATGTCCAAAAAAAACAGAATGACAGAGGGTTCTGAGTAGAACATTGGGCTACACCGATACATCTCCATTTCATCCTGTTTTCTGCAGTCGTGTTTAGTCCGCTGTATGATTGCCCGTAGGCTTTCAACTGTTCCACATCACCCTCGAAGTAACGTCCAACTCTCCCGTTTTTCCATTCAGTTTTCACTCGAAAGCCTGTTTTCCTAGACAAGAAATTAAAAGATTAAATGTTGGTTTGTAGGGATTTAGTTGATTGGTTACAGGATTGCATCATGAGTTGACATCACAGTTAGAGAACCATTGGAGTACTGCCAGACAGCTGTTTCGTCAGCCTAGTTTAGGACTCTGCTTCAGCAGTACGCTCCCCGCACCACGGGACGTTCGAACCCAGCAGGACCTTCTGGTTACAAGGCGACCTCGTATTACCGTATTAAACGAAAATAAATGCCAAGCAATCTCAGTAGTTTTTCTACAAACGATTGTCCAAAAGGACAATTAGTTTCACCTTGCCCTTGATGTGGTTGTTTTTTCTATGATTTTGGTGATTTGAAGCTGCGAAGCTTCTATTTTCCTCATAGAAAACATTCATTGTTTTTAAAGGCACTCTTGTTTTTTTTTTTTTAATGTGGGTAGGTCGTACTGACCGGCTTTCCTAGGTTGAATGAGACTTCACGCCGACAGTCCTACCCTGATTAGAATTGCTATGACAGAATCAATCAATGAGTCATGACTCATTATGTGTAGTTTGCCACACCAACAGTATTCTAGTTTTCAGTAGAGCCTTCAAATTCTGTGCATGTAGCGGTTGTTCGTATGACTAAGACAAAAGAAGACAATCCTCTTCATATATCTGTACGGTATTGTTTTCTGACGTAATCTCAGCATGGATACAAAAGGCTGGCTTGGTTTACGGCAAACCGTCAACCAAAGAGCGTATGTACTGCTCAGCAGTTCGCTCTGTCCTCCTTTATGCTTGTGAGTGAGACATGGCCATTGAAAGTGGAAGACATGAAAAGCTTGGCTAGCTGTCTTTCATCATAGGTGTCTGTGTTCTATCTCCCATGTTAGATGTTATAATACGGTGAGTAATATTGAAGCTAGGCGTCGAGTGAGTACTATATAAGCAAGGGAAAATCAATCGATGAGGTTGTGAAGTTACACTGATTGAGATGGTTGAGACAAGTGTTATGCATGTATTCTTAATCATCGATCGCCTTCCTCGACAATGGTCAGTTGATATGTATCCATATATATATATATATATATATATATATAGTGGTCTCTCTTTATGTTGCTCTCTTAGTCTGTGACCATTTCACTTTGATGAACCTGTCTCCTTTAACAATGTATATTCCCCTTATATTATGTATAATATGTGTGTTTGTTGACATATCTGCTATATTTTGCTATGCATATATGGATCGATACTCCATTATAATTAGCCAATCATGTTAAGACTGTCTATTGATTTGTTCACACACTTGTGGGACTTTGATTCTCCTTGTGTTTGGAAAATAGAAGTATCATCGCAAACCTAGTGGTCTTCTGATTTCCGTCTTTCTTGAGTCAGGACTATTAAATTCTCGACCAGTACATAATAATAATTTGGCGATGAGTACATAACATCAGTGTTAGCTGACTGACTGACACTGGATGGTTCAGGTTGGAAAACAGCTAGCTCTAGTGGTGGTTATTCAGTGAAATCCATAACAGTTAGTTTAAGGTAGCCAGTCAACCAGCCACGTAGGAAGGTGTAGACTTCCTGACTGGCTGATTGGGGTCCTCAGAATAGTTAAAACCCAATGATGGATGGAGACAATTCGTGGTATGTGTCTCAAAGTCCTCTTTCTCATTGGTTGGCTCAGATGCATCCACTCCTTGTGATTTATAATATAATATAAAAATCAGGTTCTATTGTTTTTTCTATATTACTATTCTTTTTTGCCTTATATCCATGTTTACTGTCTCTATTTTGCATTTATTTTTTACTTTCTTGCCTTGCTTTGTGTGTTGAGTGAAGTGTGGCAACTCGAACTGGTGCTCGTCGTCGGTGCAAAGTTCTATGCTGAAACCAGTCAGTCAATGAGTCAAATGCGTCCTACTGTTTGAAATCTTAATATTTTCCTGCGTTGAACAACTGGTGTCCATAGTTGCCTGTCTGTCTGTTTTCGACATAGAACTTTGCACAAATGTGCGGAAGTTCAAGTCGCCACATTCCGTGTAGCACGCGAAGCAAGAGAAGAAAGTACAAGAAAAGCATAATAGAAACAGTGAGCAGAGGTGTGAGACAAAGGAGTAATAAAGAAATACAAAACAATTTCATTGAAGATCATAAGTCACAGGGAGTGGATGCATCTGCGCTAGCCACTGAGAACGATTTTGAGCCATGTCACCAATTGTTCCCTACCATAGATTTTTGCCGTCCCAGGACCCCAGCCTGGAAGTCTACACCTTCCTACGTGGCTAAGACCAACTGTTGTGGATTTCATTGACTGGTGAAGCCAAGTTTTTGTTTGACCGCCGCTAGTTTTTTCCAGCCTGACCCTATATCCGCTAACATTGCTCGTCGAGGGAGGCGATGGCTTGGCCATACGTAACACATGTCCTAACCATCTCAGTCGATGTAGTTGCCTACGTGTTTCTGTGTGCCCTATTGATCTTAGATACGGATGCGTAGGGGACTGCTGCCCACTTTAACCCAGTATAGTGCTCGTCAGTGTTCATGTTATTTATTTTACAGATAGTATTGATCTTGTCTTAATTAACTGTTGGGTTGGGTCTTTTGGTCTGCATACAACTACTACTATTTGAATGAAGAGATAGTTTTGGTTTGTGATTCGATTCCAAATTAACAATGAATCACAACAAAGGTTATCAGAGGATGATAAGATTATATCATTCATAGAGAAAGTATTCATCATATAAGTCCACTTCATTATATTGAAGGGCAAAGTTAAACCTTTAGCACTACTAAATTTTGCCAATCAACAAATGACCTTGAACGCACCAATCACGTGATGGAGGCATTTTGTGTATGGAATACATGTATATTTATGAAAAGTGTTCCAGAGGATACCTTCCTCTCACATTTGATGAGAATAGCTCTCATTTATAGGTTGGAGTATCAACAGAATAGAGTTCCACTGTGGGTAGAATTTATTCTCCCGGCCGATAACTGCTACCTTATCGTGGTGGTCGGGCTTGAATACCGTAATGACCTAATATGCTAAACTGACTGGGACTCTGTCCCTGCAGGTCCTACCATGTCAGGTAGGTTTTCTGGATAGTGGTTAGACGAAAAGCAGTTACCACGGGGTACATGGGTTCCAGTATCCAATCGGATCAAATGGCGTATGAACCCGTATGGGTCACCGTCAACCATGGAAATGCAGCTCCTGACGCTGCTCCGCTGCCTTGCGGACTAGACTCCCAAGTCAAAGGCTCGGGGGGGATCTATAGTACATACTGATGAATGGAAAGGTTATGAATCGCTGTCATCCTTTAGAGATATATATTCATCACAGAGAGAACCATTCTTGTGAAGTGGTAGAGCACGTTGTCCGCTTCACTTATTTGGGAAGTACCATCAGCCAGTTCCAACGGGCTGATCTCTGACGAAATCTCAGCACGAATACAAGGGGCTCGTTTCGCATTTGTTAGTTTACGCCGACTCTGGCGTAGACGAGATGTTCGACTATCGACCAAAGGGCGGGTGTACTGCTCATCAGTCCGCTCCGTCCTCCTTTATGGCCAGCTGTGAGACCTGGCCACTGAGAGTGGAAGACATGAAAAGGCTGGCTAGCTGTGTTTGATCATAGGTGCCTGCGCTCTATTTCCCGTGTGAAGTGGCATAATAAGGTGAGCAACATTGAGGTTAGGCGTCGAGTTCTAGGTAAACATGGGAAATCAATCGACGAAGTCGTGAAGCTACAAAGACTGAGATGGTTAGGACATGTGTTACGTATGCCAAGTCATCGCTTCCCTCGACGAGCTATGTTAGCGGATATAGGGTCAGGCTGGAAAAAAGCTAGCGGTGGTCAAACAAAAACTTGGCTTCACCAGTCAATGAAATCCACAACAGTTGGTCTAAGCCACGTAGGAAGGTGTAGACTTCCAGGCTGGGGTCCTCGGGACGGCAAAAATCTATGGTAGGGAACAATTGGTGACATGGCTCAAAATCGTTCTCAGTGGCTAGCGCAGATGCATCCACTCCTTGTGACTTATGATCTTCAATGAAATTGTTTTGTATTTCTTTATTACTCCTTTGTCTCACACCTCTGCTCACTGTTTCTATTATGCTTTTCTTGTACTTTCTTCTCTTGCTTCGCGTGCTACACGGAATGTGGCGACTTGAACTTCCGCACATTTGTGCAAAGTTCTATGTCGAAAACAGACAGACATTCTTGTGGATCCCATTACGGGGTTTTGGCGAAGATTGAAAAATAGGATTAGGGTTATAAATAGATCTCAAAAGGGATCTCATTTATAGTCATTTGGATGAATATATGTACAGAATATGTGGTGTAACTTTTCTATTGACACTTCCCTATGCTAAACTGAGAGGTGTTTCTGTCACATGTTAGAGAAAGATACTCTATGTAAGAGTTTTATGCTTTTTTTTTTCTCGTAAATATACCTTTTCCTTTATCAAAAATCCCTCTTTCATGTGATTGGTCCGTCGAAGGTGGTTCGCTGACTGGTGGTAGTTAGTTAGTGGTGCTTAAAGTTTAACTTTGCCACACTGTCTTATCGACTTCGAGTCTTTTCTTTTGTCTATGCGTGCCGGTGGTGTTATTGTTGTTGTTTTGATTTGTGATTATGACACATAATCCAGTGCATTAAGTTAGTCGTAGTTCTTGTCATAACATATGTACTTCAGTTTATGTATCAAGGGGAAATATTTTAGAACTGGATACCCTAAAAATTTCTCTACTATGTATTCGCATCGTTTCAAACTACAGGCGGACGGAACTGTTTGAGGATATCAAAGCGGTGAGGATCATCGGGAAAGCAAGGCAAGCTTTCAGTGCTCTCAAGTCTGTGTGGAGATTAATAGCACTCAGAACTCAGCTTGAAAAATAAGATCCGGATTTTCAACTTCAATGTGAAGTCATTCAGTGCTATTTACTATAAGGATCAGAGACTTGGCGCCGCGTCGCAAAGGGCACTTCGAACAAACTACACACCTTCATCAACAGCTTAATGTCTTTCCTCAATAATACTACACAAGATCGGATGGCCGGCTGGAAAAGATCAGCAACAGGGGGAGGGATCTCTGGTAGGTAGATTGGCCATACTTTGAGAAAACAAACCATCGCCAAACCACTGCTCTAGTGGAACCCCAATGGGAAGCGGCGAGTCGGTCGTCAGTGAGAGGGTGACACGGAGGAAGAGGTCATGTGAAAAGGAGATGGAAGCACGTGGGTGAACGAGGAGCTAGGTGGAGACGTTGGCGGAGAATCGAGTGCAATGGAAATGTGAGGCTGAAGCTCTATGTTCCTCTTGGAACTATACGAGACAATAATATAATGATAATGTGTTCGCATATTGCCCGAAATAAAGCTTTATTTCGTGTTCTATGTAATTTAATGTGGATAAGCGATGTTTATTTCTCAACTGACTGTCTCTACATAATATCTGTCTGTCTGGATTCAACATAGAACTTGGAACCGAAGTGCACCAGTTCGAGTTGCCACGTTCCAAATAGCACACAAACGTAGACAAGAAGATGAGTAGAGAGAATCAATAGAGTCTGACAAGTATAAGAGTGAAACAGAATGGGTAATGGTAGGAAGGAATATGAAAGATTACAGAGACTGAATACATCTGCGCTGTCATTGACAACGATTTTGAGCCATGTCATCTATTGTCTCCAGCCATTGATTCCTAGAGTCCCGAGGGCCCCAACCCGGGAGTCTGCATCTCCCTACCTGACTCAGTTTAACTGTCAAGGATTTCATGGATTGATGAGGCCATGTTTTTGTTTGGCACCACTGGCTCTTTTCCAACCTGAACCTATGTCAGCTAGCAATGCCCGTCGGGGAGGCGGTGGTTAGGCATGCGCAGCACGTGACCTAGCCATCTCAGTCTATGTAACTTTATAGCCTCGTTGATTGATTTTCCCTCTTTGCCCAACACTCTACGCCTAACGTCAACATTACTTACCTTGTTAAACCACCTAACGTGAGACAGAGATCGCAGACATCTATGATCGAAAGCAGTTAACCTTTTCATGTCTTCAACGCGTATTGGCCATAATATAGTAAACTTTGTTTGTTTAGACTGATGATTATGCTGAATTCACATGTTCATATCCCTTATTCTTCATATAACACGTTTTCAGTATTCTTGATGACAGAACTTTAAGTGTTCCATAAGTTATTTAACAATTTGGTTTACAGTTTACTATAAGTAGTAAGGCAATGTCACTCAATTGACTTGGCTCCATATCTCACTAACAGCGACCAAGGAGGATGGAGTGGACTGATGAGCAGTACACACACGGCATTTGATTGATAGCCCGCCGCCGGATATCACGTCTATACTAGAGATGGCGTAATTTGGCTGGTATATGTTAAACAAGCCTTCTGTATTAGTGCTGAAATTTCGTCAGCGATCAATTAGTTGGCATTGGCTGTTGCAACTTCCCAAATAAGTAAAGTGGTCAACACTTTCCTCCGCCACATCACTCCCCTCTGTTTATAAGCCAGGAGTTCTGTCTGTCTGTTTTGGACAATGAACTGTGAACATGTGTGCGGCTGTTCAAGTCGCCGTACTCCCTCCTTGTACCACACAAACCAAGAGAAGAAAGTACAAGAAAAGCATAATAGAGACAGTAAGCAGAGGTGTGAGACAAAGGAATAGTAATAACGAAGAACAAAACAGTTTCATTGGAAATCATAAGTCACAAGGAGTGGATGCATCTGTGCACCAGCCATAAAGAACGGTAAGTTTGAGCCATGTCACCAATAGTTTCCAACCATTGGTTTTTACCGTCCCGATGACCCCAAACAGTCAGGAGGTTTACACCTTCATCTGTCTGTCTGTCTGGATTCAACACAGAACTTGGCACCGAAGTGCAGCAGTTCGAGTTGCCACGTTCCAAATAGCACACAGAGGTAGACAAGAAGATGAGTGAAGAGAATCAATACAGTCTGACAAGTATAAGAGTGACTTAAACTAACTGTTAAGGATTTCATTGACTGATGAAGCCATGTTTTGGTTTGACCTCCGCTAGCTCTTTTCCAGCCTGATCCTATATCAGTTAACATTGCCCATTGTCGAGGAACTCGATGACTAGGCATCCGTAACACATGTCCTAACCATCTCAGTCGGTGTAATTTCACAGCCTCGTCGATTGATTTCCCCTCTTTACTTAGCACTCACTCGACGTCTAATCTTAATATTGCTCACCTTATTATACCAGGAGTTGCTGTAGTCCAGTCCTATAGCACCATCTTACATTTGTCCGGAGGCAATCACGTGATAAATATTTGCAGCTGTGAAGGTGTTCAGAAGACTCTGCTTTATTTTGTCGTCGTCTTTGCCTAGAAGGACTATATTATCTCCATATTCTAAGTCAACGAGACTATTATTTCCTGGTAGCAAGTCAATCCCTGAGTCCCTGAAGTGAGGTAGGGTTATTGAATTCCAGAAGTTGCGTCTAAATTCGACTTTTGAGGAGATTGTCACTTTAAGCGTATTTTTCCGTTGATACACGCAAGCTAAATAAAGCCACAATTATCATTATTGTCCTTTGTTTTTTGTATTTTTTTTGTAGCAGAATGGCTGAGAAAGCAGACGATTTATACCTACCGAATGCAGTGCTTCTTCGAATTATACGTGAATCTGTAAGTTTCTCAGTGTACAGGATCTTTTCATCATCATCATCATATTCAGTGTTTTGTAGAAACTTCGATTTTGAAGTTTTTACAATCAAAATTCATACAAGATTTTTCCCTGTATATTAAAAATTTTCTTCATTGTCATTGTTTGATAGCGACCTGCCAGTAGTAGAATCCAGGATTCACCGCTCTTAGTCTTTCTTATTTTAGACCTTCATTATAATAAAGCTAATTTTGTATTTCCCAATGAATGAATGAAAAACAAAACGATATTGTTCTGTTTACTGACGTTTCGCTATTTAATGCTGCTAATAGCTTTATCAAAGTGGTATTATTAAACCGGAATTTACAAAATCTCAGTATATATATAACAAAGAGTTAAGGGGTGAGAAAAAAATATAGACTTAGTTCAACTTAAAAGGACATATTGAAAGTCACAACAACAATGAAGATCACTAAAACCAAATATCAAAGGTAAGAGTACGTCTGTTATGATATCAAAACAAAGTTTACTAACTTGATCATCATTCGTCTGTCTGGAGTGATTTTTTGTTGTCAAGTTGGTCAATTGGTGAAGATAACAAAACAAAATCAAGTGTAGATTGTTGGATTTGATCAGTGTGTGAGATTATTAAAGTAGTGGGTGTGTATACATAGTGAACTTGCTTATCACATTCGTGTTGATTTTGTCACTTCATGGGGGGAGGGAGGTGTTGTAACCAGGTCAAATTCTGTTTTAGTCCGTCATTATTCCTATTCAGGCAATTTGAATTCCACTTGATAAGAAGTGCTTCTGATGATACGAGACGCGTTCTTTGTGATTTCTGAAATGCTTTTTCTGGATGATGATTTCAATATTGTCAAAATAAATTTTGTGGCCTAATTCTTTAGCGTGTCGACGACCTATGGCTGATGATTTCTCAAGCTTTTCTAGTTCACTAACTGGATTTCTCGGTGGTCGAACAGATGCACGACAGTGTTCATTTCTTCGGATTTTGATTTCGTACTGGCGATGTATATCGCATCATATTCCAAGCAAGCATTTTATTTTATAGACACAATTAGATAGAGAATCTTTAGGGGTTTGATCTTTTATATGCACAAGGTTGCTTCGCAGTGTGTGAGTCTGATGTCTCCGCTCTATAAGGAATGACTGACAACTGTTGAGGCCCATGTTTTCGGAATACGTTTTCGGCCATACTTCTTAATGTCTTTGTTGATTTTGTTGATGAAGTTCCTTGGGTTTAATAATACTTTGATGCAGCTATTAGCATTAAATAGCGAAACGTCAGTAAGAGCGACAATATCGTTTTGTTTTTCATTCATTGAGAAATACAAGAAAACCTTTATTATAATGAATATCATATACCACCCAATGCCCAAATTTTTTCAAATTGTTAAAAGTGAACTTGGTTTGAACACATATATAACTATTTTGGATCAGTTAGCCGGGGATATATATGTGAATTTTAGTTATTGGGGCTGTTTGTGCCTGCCCACTGAAACTCAAAGGAGCCACGGGATTCACCTCCTCTTGTGCATCGGGTGATATTGATCACTCATTTGTTTTTTCTTGACATATCTGCAGTGTTACACTTTCGTTTTGGAGAAAGGGCGGACGGTAACTGCTGTCCTGTATAAATCCAAATCTTTATTTATAAACTAGCTGTAGTTGATAGTTTAGTTTATACAAATCATGTCTGCCATCTGAACCCACCTTTTCTATTGCCTTTTTGCCTTCTATTGCCCGCCTTCCTCGACGGGCAATGTTAGCTGACTGACATAGGATGGATCAGGTTGGAAAAGAGCTAGCCAGTGGTGGTCAAACGAAAACATGGCTCTTCATCAGTCAATGAAATCCAAAACAGTTAGTCTAAGCTAGCCAGCCAGTCACGTAGGGATGTGTAGACTTCCTGACTGGTTGGTTGGGGTCCTCGGGATTTTAAGAACCAATGGCAGCTGGAGACAATTGATGATGATATGGCTCAGACGCATCGTTGTCAGTGTCTGGCACAGATGCATCCACTCCTTGTGACTTTCAATACTCGACAAAACCATATTGTTCTTCGATACTACCATTCTTTTTGCCTCATATCTGTGTTTACTATCTCTCTATTATGCATTTCTTCTCTTGGTTTGTGTGCTACATGGAGGGAGTGTGGCGACTCGAACTGGTGCACGTCGGTGCAAAGTTCCACGTTGAAATCAATCAGTCAGTTAGTCATTGCCTTGTGGCATTTTTGAATTGATGTTTATTTTGTTATTTCCCCTCATCAGAATTTTTCTAATATCAGTTGAGTGTGTAAAGGGGTCTTATAACTTTTTCACTGACGCCAATCTGTATACTACTTATATATATTTTTAAAAGTAATATATAATAATGTAATATAATATATAATATAAAATTCTAAAAAGTAATCTAGGTTGGTAGGTAGGTGGAGAGTGAGATATATTGATCACTGAATCCTTGTTCATCGAGTCTACACTCAACACATGCAATAGAAATGATTCATCACTCATACCCGAAATATGGAAAATACCTACTACCAATCAAATCAAGTGAAAAATAATGGAACTATATAAATGAATTTAGGAAGTCGTGTGATTACCTTGATATGATTATGAGCAGTAATAAATTGTGCTCGAAACGTGGTCATCAGTAAACATTACTGTATAACAACACTGTATGAGACTTTATCAAAACAAAATTTTACCCATAATGGAATTACACTCTACCACCACAGTGCACAAGTTTTATACTTATATCAAGTCGAAGACTTCATGAATGATTGTTGTTTTCAGTTTCGCCTTTCCTAACTCCCTTTTCCAACTTAATCTTATGAAAGCTAACATTGTCCATCTAGGAAGGTGATGGCTTGGCATGTACAAAATATGTCCTATCTATCTCAATCGATTCAGATCTACAACCGTATTGACTAAGTTACTCTCCTTTTCTAACACTCGACGCTTAACTCTAATATCGCCTACCATATGATGCTCACTTGATAGGGGGGGGGGGGATAAACGGCAAACATCTATGGTCAGAGACGTCTAACCTTTCTGCATCTTCCACTTTCAATAGGTGTAGACTTCCTGACTGGTTTGGGTCCCCGGGACGGTAAACACCGATGGTTGGAAACTATTGGTGATATGGCTCAAACTTACCGTTCTCTATGGCTGGTGCACAGATGCATCCACTCCTTGTGACTTATGATTTCCAATGAAACTATATTGTTCTTCGTTATTACTATTCCTTTGTCTCACACCTCTGCTTACTGTCTCTATTATGCTTTTCTTGTGCTTTCTTCTCTTGGTTTGTGTGCTACAAGGAGGGGGTGAGTGGCGACTTGAACTGGTGCACATAGGCACAAAGTTCTATGTCGAAAACAGACAGACAGACTTTCAGTAGCTGTCATACAGCTATAAAGGAGGACACAGTACACTAGTGCACAGTGCATACGTCTTTTGGTTGGAAGCCCGCCGGATATTTCACGTCTAGACCAGAAATGATATAATTTGGCTAGTGCAACATTCTGTATCAACCATTAGTCGATTAATTAGATTTATGAGATCCATATTTCCATTTCGGTGTATATTAATAGATTTCATATGACTTTCTTTCTTGGCTTTTTTTTTTCATTCTCAGCTACCTGAACGAACGATAGTCAGTCGTGAGGCACGTTCAGCTATCAGTAAATCAGCTAGTTCATTTATTCTCTATGTTACTTCACTGGCTAGTGTTCATTGTGAAAAATCAAAACGTAAAACGTTAACTGGAAATGATATATTGGCTGCTTTGAAAGAAATGGAATTCGGTCATTTTATACCAGCGTTGAATACATTTCTAGAAAGTGAGTACGATTGGCAGGGCCGGGAAGGGGGGGGCTTTATTCTCTATTTTGTGTATGTGTAACAGATCGTTTATTCAGAAAATCAATAGATATTTATAGATTTTTATGTAGATTACTCGTATTCGCGTTATTGTTAGCAGAGAAGCATCGTCTTCTGATTGGTTGTTTTCTTGCTAAAGGTTATTCTGTCATTTCTTTGTGGCCGTTTCTTAGAAAGTTAAGCCATATATCTGCGAATCGTATTTGCTTTGATTGCTGTGTGCTGTGATTGGTATTTTTGTTCCTCAGGGCTAAGCTCTGTTATTGTTTTTTTTCACATGATCCCAATTCGGGACGTGAACACTGACGTAAATTGCTGTCTCTACAATTTTTGGCTTGCAGCTACCTCTCACCACATAATGACTGAAGCCAACGGAGGGACGAATAAATTAGCAAAGGATATCAATAGAGAGGGTTACTCAACAGCTACTTACAATACCATGCAGTTGACAATGAGCCACACCTATTGAGTGAAGGCTCTTCAAACTTCAGTATTAGATGGAGAGAAGGGTTCGAGTCCATAATTCATCACCTAGAAATCGATAGTCTAAACCACTGAGCCACGATTCTCCTTTGGTAATAGTTTGTGCTTGATTGATATAATTTTGCGGTTGGGAGCCAAGATTATTATCAGAATTAAGAAAGGGAAGTCAGTAATAGTAATAGCTTTATTCGGAACAATGTTTATATAATGTATAGATTTTTTAGCCGACTTTATTGTATGATAACTTCTCTTCGTCTAAGATCTTCGAATATTGCGTTAACTGATAGTAGATCGTGTGACATAATGTTGTTTGACCTCGTGAGCAAACCGATCCATTATCATATTTCCCTTTTGTCTCATTTGGTTAATTTGAGACATTTAATTGATGAATGCCTATTGTAAAACGTTCGGGAGTACATCTTGTGAAGCAAAGACAATTCTCAGGGACAGTTTTATCCCATCTGCTGGGATAAGTTGTTGTCCAGGGTGATACTTTTTCTCATGTTTCGTGGAAACTTGGGAATCAATAGATTTTAAACCCTTTAAATACTCACCAGAGTAAATAATGGCGCCATAGCTCATATTTTAATATATTAAAACAAAGATAACGATAGAAATCATATGGAATGTGTAATGAAGGAGGCGTTTTTTTATTGATGTAGTTGTGTGCTCTGGGGTGGATAGTTTATTTGCGAAGCTTTCATTGTCCCCCTACTAGACAACATCTTCAGCGCATACTTCAATTTGATTGAATTGAAGTGAGCTTTTTTTTAGATTTCTCCACGAGTTTATTAGTCATCTCTTCTGTTCATACTGAACATAAATCTCTGGTTGGTTTTGTGTGTTTTCACTCCCTCTAGGCTTCTTGTATTGGTATTTGTGTTGATTGTTTCCTTCGCTTGGACTTTGATCCTTTTTATATGAGATTTCGTCCTTATTGTTTGGTAAATTTTGTCTATCTCGATGTGTCTATTGATTGACGATTCACTGGAATACCAGACAGCCTTCTAAAAATTCTCTAGCATTTTTGGTGCATCCTCTCTCTCTAATATTTGAACGCTGGTTGCTCCAGTGGAATTAATATCCGTGGTTGTCTGTATGCAGTGAGGCGATATGAGCGAGGGAGTAGATGTGATGTCTTTTGACGGCTAGTTTATGTTCATGGATACGAAGACGAAGAGGACGTTGTCCACTTTGGTGATTGTAGTGTTTTTCACAGTTGTTACAATTTATATTTTGTAGATGATGTTGGTTTTATCTTCTTCTTGTTTCGTTGTTGAGTCTTTTGGTTGACATAGAGCAAGCTGAGTGAAGTGATTTTGTTGGTTTGTGTGCGACGTCAATTCTTAGAGGTTTGAGTAGTTTTGCAGTGATTTCTGAGATGTCCTTGATATATGGTAGAGCGATTTTCTTTGTGCTTCCCTGTGGGCCTTTGATTTAATAGGTTGACTTAGAGGTAGATGTATTTTGATGAAGTTCTGTGGATATAAATTCCCTTGGAAGACGTCCGTGAGATATCTTGCTTCAAATTTCCTTAGGATGGGAGTGCTGCAATGAGTCCTGGCTGACTGTCTTTTATAGTGTCTGTATGCAATTCCTTTTGTGTGTTATTGGATTGTTGCTGTTGTAATTGAGTATTTGATCTGTGCGGGTTAATTTTCTATAAACTTGAGTGTCTAATTCTCCCGTGGTTGTTATCTTCACTAAGACGTCCGAAAATGAGGCGTACAGTAACCCAAATTTTAAGCAGACTACCGTGTATATTTTTAGAATTCGAGCTTGGTGGTAGTGAAGCAGCGTCGGTGCTGCTTTCCCATAATTCCTGGTGATTAAAACAGGTTCATACAGCATTCAATCTGTTCGGATTCTGTAGCTCATGTACTCCACATAGGTTTGAAATCGGAGTTTTCCAGCTGTCTCTTAAGTAGATTTCTATGTCACCTGTCTAGTCTTAGGCACTAGACGACGTTCATAATCGCACTTTCACTTTTGCGAGGTACATACCCATTGTATGAACGCAGCGAACAAGATTTGCCTTGTTGAGGCTATGAACCCGCGTCGTCACATGCAATCATTTCGAGAGGAAGAAAACTAAAATCCTTTCATCGTCGACCTTACCAGGATGTTAATAGGGGTCATTTTGGTCTCACTGATTAAATATTTGGTCTCTTATTATGAGTGATTCAACCAATTATGAAAATGATCCTGTACCTAAGTTGGCGAAACTGTAACTTGAAGTCCGCTCTGAAATATGATGAGAAAAGTTTCTCGATAGCCTTTTACTACTTACTAATATATAGTAGTATGATTAACTTCAAACAAATAATAGAAATGTAAACATTTTATGGCAGACGGTAAGACACAGAAGCAAAGGTATATTTTCAAGTGATCAAACAGCTACTTATACATATATAGTTTATATTCCTTAACTAATTACTGAGCGTGTGATTTTGGTTAACATTAAACGACATGAAATCGAATGTTCAAATATACATTTGGTGTTCTGTTGGTAATGCACTATTGAACTGTGGGAATAGTATTCAGACGTTAACACCGACGAATACAGTGATTCTTGCTGTGAGAGTAATATTTCGTCGGAACCCATTGTTTATATCCCACCACTACAATGTGTTTTATGGGGTAGCTACTTCATTTTCGTGAAGATATGGTTCAGAACCGACATCAGTTAAAGGATCACAAAAAAAAACCAGGGAAACCGTGTGTGTGTGTATGTATGTACGTATATGTGTGTGTGTGTGTGTCTAACCTCATACGGTTGAAAGGGGATCGGCTTCTATTTTCTTCTTGATATGCTCTCATGTGGAGACGAGTTCATAACCTGTGTCATGTTAGTCTTATTCATTGACTCACGAAAGTTAAAGAGTGAATCTCAATGTGTCCAACACTCGTAACCAAACTGGTGGAAATTCAGGTCTATCTACGAGAGCTGGTCGTCACTCAGCATCAACAACAAAATTCGGATTTTCAGTACAAACGTCAAGTCAGTCAGTTCTTCTATACGGATCAGAAACTTGGCTGGCAGGTCACAAAGAATATTTCCAACAGCCTGTTGCAGACCTTCATCAACAACTGTCTTCGCTGGCTCTATACTGGAGATCGATGGCCGGGCCGGAAAGAATCACCAACTATGGGAAGAAATAAACAAAACAAGAACAAACCAATGGCCAACCAACAAATATGCAGGAGAAAGTGGATTGAGATGGATTGGACACTACTCGCTGAGGAGGCCGCTGGGTGACTTCGCGCGCGCGTCAGACCATTGCTCGAGTGGAACCAGGCCGAAAGGGAAGCGGCGAGTGGGTCGTCAGTGCAAGGGTGACATGGAGGAGATCGTGTGAAGAGGAATTGAAACAGTATGGACTAAGATGGATGGAGGTGAAAAGTACATCAGAAGGAAGACAGAAGCAAGTGGAGACGTGCGGTTGAAGCCCTACGTTCCACTAGGAACCCAAGGGAACAATAATAATAATACGAGAGCTGGAAAATCCTGATTCCAAAGGTATGTGCAGTGTACATGAACTGCAGAATCCGGACGGGTTGATTGGCGTATGAACCTGTTTTGGTCTACTGATTCATCTCCACTACCTCGTGTCAGGATTAAACTTTAATTTAGTTTCAAGGAGAGGAGTGGATGACCATCTGTTTTGATTTGGATATCCAGGCAGTATGTAAGCCGTCGCAACTTGTTAATACTATTGTGGATAGACATATTATGTTATGTAAGAAACTAGCGAATACAATATTGTCAGACCCCGAGCATCCTCTCTATACGCAGCTGTCTCCTTGCATTTCATCTGGTAGAACTAGAAGCAGCTATAGGAGGTTATAAGCTAGGAATACCACCAAGTACAAAAACTCCACAATACCATATCTGGCACAGCTGTTATGTGATGAGAAATCCGTTAGGTATGACACGATCAACTTACTGCGGCACTCTAACAAATAGTTTCATTAGTTTTTGTTTTCCTTTCCTCGTTACTATTACACTGTTGTTCTCATCTTCTACCACACATCAACTTTATATTTCATATCCTGTGGTGCATTGTTTGAAATGTAAACGCAACGCTGTTCTTTTTATTTTTTCATTTATCTTTTTTTGTTGCTTTTTGATTTTAAAATCTTATAAAATTTATGAGGTAATTCGATACCATATATTGTAATGCACGCTGCAAATTCCATACCTGTACTACAAATACTGTTTGGAATAAAGCTGTTATTATTATTATAATGACACGGGTTCGAATCTCAGACAAGAGACATGAGTTCCTTCAAGGTTGCAGACACGCCTTACTGACTGACTGGTGAGTGCGAACTACTAGAGCACGAAACCTAGGTGGTGTGTCCAAGGCTTCTTGTGGCCGATTGCCTCCAACTATCCAATAATCATAATACAATCGATTGACACCCCACAGACGACCATGACTTCTCAAACTGTTTGCCGCTCGATTCGTGATGTTAATCTTAGTCGGAGTTAGCTTCATTTCTCTCGGCTTTTTTTTAAAATTCTTTTCCTTCTCTCTCTCTTACAGAGTATCGTGAACAAACAACTGCAAAAAAGACGCATAAACGTTTATACAGTGAAATTGATGATGGGAAGACCAGTAACCAGTTGATTAAGAATCTACCAGCCTCCTCCTCGTCCTTAGTAGCATCATCATCGTCGTCAGCATCATCCACAGTGATACCGAATTCTAAACTCTTGAGTGATAACAACGTCATCAACACCACCAACAACAACGTTGTCTCCTTATCAGAGATTGAAGAAGAGAATATAGACGAAGCTGATCCAAACGATGAAGATATTACTGATGATGAGGATCAGGATGAAGAAGAGGCAGAAGACGCTGACGGTATGGAAGTCGATGTGGAAGGTGAAGAAGCATTAGAAGTAGAAGATGAAGTGGAACCAGATGAAGATGTTCATTTCAATGAAAAAAATGTAGATCATGCGGATCAAGTAGTCATTGTTATCGGAGATGATGACAATAGTTCACAGAAGACAGAAGCTTTGAAAGAAAATGATGATTCTGTTTGATGGATGATATTGTGTTCTCCTGTAAATGGAAAGGTGTGCGTGTGTGTATGTATGTAGAGTCGCCTATCTATTATTTTTCTTCAATTTCAGTGCATTTATTTTATACAAACTAGGTAGGATTGTTGAATAAACTGACTAACTAACGAACTAACTAACTAATTGTCTCTTATTTTTTTTTCACCAAAAGTTTCTCTGTGCTGGTTAGATTTTATGTATTTTTCATGAGAGAGTATTTCAAGTTTATGTAAAATGTCTAGAAAAAAAAAACCATTACTTCGATATTTTGTGTGCCCTTGGCTGTAAAGGGAATGCCGAGAAAATACACTGCACTGATTAAGGCACTCACTCTACTCGAACTCATGCAGTCAACCAGATGAGAGCTTACGGCGAGTTGTCATCTTAACTGGTGACAACTAGTGTAGCGGTGTCCGTCAAGGATGCCTATTATCCCCATTTCTATTGAATTTCATCATAGATCTACTAATGGACTTAACCCCAAACTGAATTCAGCGACTCAGGGATTGACTTGTTGCGGTCAGGGAATAATAGTCTCGTTGACTTAGAATATGGAGATGATATAGTCCTCCCTGCTAGGCGAGGACGCTGACAAAATCCAGCAGAGTCTTTTGAACGCCTTGAGCTGCAATCTACGAATGTTTGGCATGCGATTCGCTCCTGTCAGTCAAATGTAAGATGATGTGACAGGACTGAACTACACTGACTCATAGTTTATAAATAGGAAGTGAATTGAATGGTGGAGCGTGGTGACTACTTCACTTATTTAGGAAGTACCATCAGCCAACGCCAACGGGTTGATCTCTGACGAAATCTCAGCTGAGTACGGATACAGAGGGCTAGTTTCACATATGCTGGCCAGTTTACGCCGTCTCTGGCTTAGTAGATGTGATATCCGACTATCGACCAAAGGGCGGGTGTACTGCTCATCAGTCCGCTACGTCCTCCTTTATGGCTGTGAGTGAGACCTGGCCATTAAGAGTGGAAGACATGAAAAGATTAGCTGTCTTTGATGATAGGTGCCTGCGTTCTATCTCCCGTGTGAAGTGGCATAATAAGGTGAGAAATATTGAGGTTAGGCGTCGAGTTCTAGGTAAACAGGGGAAATCAATCGACGAGCTTGTGAAGTTACATAGACTGAGATGGTTAGGACATGTTTAATGCATGACGGGCAATGTTAGCGGATATAGGGTCAGGGTGGAAAAAAGCTAGCGGAGGTCAAACCAAAACATGGATTCATCAGTCAATGAAATCTACAACGGTTAGTCTAAGCCACGTAGGAAAGTGTAGACTTCCTCACTGGTTGGTGTCCTTGGGACGGTTAAAACCAATGGTTGGAAACAATTGGTGATATGGCTCAAAATCATTTTCAATGACAGGCGCAGATGCATCCACTCCTTGTGACTTATGATTTCCAATGAAACTGTTTTGTTCTTTTTTATTACTATTCCTTTGTCTCACGCCTCTGTTTACTGTCACTATTATGCATTTCGTCTACTTTCTTCTCTTGGTTTGTGTGCTACACGGAGTGTGGCGACTTGAACAGTGGCACATTTGTGCAAAGTTCTATGTCGAAAACAGACAGTGTTTGTGTACGTGTGTGTGTGTGTGTACATTAGGATTCATCGGAAATTCTCATTCTAACACATAGAAAATCAGAAATATATATATATTTCAATTAGGTTTTAGATACATCAAGCTGACAAGTCCCAAATAGAACGAAATGCACATCCTGGATTCCACTGCTAGTAACCATCCACCAATTAAGTATATTTATATGGTTTATAAGAAGTTATATCCGGTGAGGAAATTGAATCATAAGTTTGAATGCATAAAATAATAGTAATAATAATAATAGTATGAAATACAATTAAAACTAAAATGTTTGTGGTTATAATCATAGTTAAATGTCAAGTGGCAAAACAAATTAATGTCATATATATATAGAATAATTCATAGGATGGATAGAACTTGGTAGGGTGTGTGTGTGTGTGCAATGATAGGATTAGTAGACAAATCGAATAAAATAAAAACGTTACGTAATATTGTGTGAAATCTGATAACATAGAATTTAACGTTGCAAGCCAAAATTGATTTAGAATGACAAGTAGAACAAGTGAAATAATAATACCGGGGACAGTTCAAAGTGACAATAGTAATAGTAGTAAGAATTGACGTAATAAAAGGAGAGAATAAGAATTAAATAGACAAAATTAAAATTGATAGGGCCAAAATATGATTAGGCATTACCATACTTTGGCATACGGGGATTAAGACCATGAAATGGAAGTTGGAGGGGTTGAACGAGCCTTTTCTTTACACACAGAGATCTGGCTTTTCTGTTTCGATAGCCAAAGATGGCTTCAGCGATACAGATGAGTCGGGTAAGTAGGGATTTAGGGTAAATTACTCTTTGCCTTGTAGATGACTTTAAAGGCGGAGAGATAGTGTGATCATTATTAACCAGATGTTCAATGATCTCGCTTCTTATTGCTCCACTTCCACCTCTTCGTAATTACCATGCAGGATAGTGTTCTTGCACCCTCTTGGACAAAACTCGAATCGAACGACCGATATGCATTAGGAATGTTAGACAAAAAGAAAAATTGGTTAGGCTTATTTAACTGGTGGATGGTGACCGGCGGCAGTGGAATCCAGGATAACGCGCATTTCGTCCTATTTTGGGGACTCGTCCTCCAGCTGGATGTACCTGCATTCCCCAGTCACTGAGTAATGATGTTCCCACTGAGGCTCGAACCCAGTATCCTTTCAAACACCAGCCAAAGCGTAATCCACCAGACCACGAGAGCCACTGCCTCTTGTTCAAATGGGTCATATAAATTATTTAATTGAATTTTAGATTTTCCCGTCGATTTATTGGACCAAAGTGCTCGAAGTGCGCATCCTGGATTCCACCGCCGCTAGTCACCCACTATCCACCAGTTGAATTCTGACTACATGCCCAGACATCGTCGAAGCATCTGCACAAGAAGCCAAGAGGCATGTCAACCTGAGATCGAGCACTTCGGTCTAATCAATCGACGGGAAAATCTAGAATTCAACTATATAGTCAGGGTTGTTGTTCACATCATCAAAATTGTAACAAGGAGGGCCGGGGTTTTGGGGTAAGATTAGTAAGTATTGACAAGGATAGCGTAATGCGAAATAGGATGTTAATGGAGAAATGTGTCCAAAAATAAATGATGTTGTATTAAGTAGAAAGAGTAAATAAAAGGTTAACTAGAATGTCATATAAAAATTCAAAAATCAGAACATTATTAACAAAGTAGTAGAACGTGGAATTATACCCAAGGTAGAAGGAGAGCGGGATGGAGAAGTTTCTTTTATGTGTGCATAAATCGGAGCTTTCTATTCGGATCTCTAAGACTTTGGTAATGCGGAGTATGCGAAGGCTTATCGTTTTCGAGAGGCTTCTTTTGACCTTGTTGTAGATGACTTTGAATGAATTCTCCTTAAAAAGCATATTGAGTGACCAGTGTTGAATACATATTCAATTATAGCACTCCTTATTGATCCATTATTACCTTTACGTAGTCAAGTGGTATAACGTTCTTTGTATGTTTTAAGTAGAACGCTGATCGAACAATGTATTATATCTGTCTCACTCCACATGAGCAATTAAAGTGGTAGATATTTACTTCACATTTATGAATAAAGCTCGGGAGGGTGAGTGGGGGTATTTTGTGAATCTCCAAGATAGCCTTCCATACCAAAAATAAATTAATAGAAAGATATTGATTCTATATTAGTTTGTTTATTAGATATATCACACAGTGAGTGAAACAGTATTGCGATTTACTGGATGACAAGGTTCGAAAAACTGGACGCAGGACATAAATAGATTTTTCGAACAGATTGACTGAAAGGTGGAGGCAATTCAATTTACTTATGAATTGGAAAGTCAGGAAGGACGGGTAGCTTCCAATGTTAGATTGCAACGTAAAAAGGAAAGAAGATGGGAAGTTAAACACACTAGTGTGTTTACAGGAAACCCACTGACGCATTCAAACAAATATTTGGACTTCCGATCATCCCATCTTATGTCAGTAAAAATAGGATTGGTGAAATGTTTAAGTGAAAGAACGCACAAAATCTAATTAGTACCAAGGAAAATATAAGACAGGAAGTGATACACATAAAAGAAGCTTTGAAACTTAATAATTACCCTGATAAATTAGTCAGGAGATATGTAGGGAAATGTAAAACTAAAATAAATAATCATAGTTATAGTGATAATAATAATAATGATGATAATAATATTAATGACGACACCAACAATAAGGAATCTAAATCATCAGTAGTATTTCGATACAAAGAAGGAACCTCCGAAACCTTACGGAGAATTCTTAACAATTAGAAACAAGCTTTGTCGGTTAGAAGATCCTGCCAGTAGAGCCATTTAAACAAAACAATTCAGTTTATCTAATACCCTTCTGGAATGATTATCAGGTTAAATACATAGGTCAGAGTAGTAGAACGGGGTCAGTCAGACTAGTGGAGCATCAGTTGACCCGAATAAGATAAGAAATCTAGAGAATAGTTCAGCTATAGCACTCACTACATCCAATTACACACACAACCATACAATAGGCTCCATGGGATAGGATGACAGTTTTAAAATCTAATGTAACAGCATGATGGACGGAGAGATCGATCACAGAAGCTTTGTTTATCGAATCAACAGCAAATCAACACGTGTAATAGGAATGATTCAACACTTGTCCATCTGGAAAGTTCTACTACCCCGACGATGACAAATAGGAGGGGACAAAGACAACTAACTATAGAACTCAAATTTCGAAGTCGTGTGATTATATTTGATATTTTTTAACTCATGGAAAATTCCCATTGTAACATATAGAAAATCAAAACAAGTGATTCTGCGAAGAGACTCTTTTCAACAACGAATTTATCATCAGGTTGTACAATTGTATTGATACGGTTTTCAAGAAGTTATATCCGGTGAGGGAATCGAATCATAGGTGTGGATGCATAAAATAATAATATGAAATTGATATATATCCACATGATGTATGTTTTGTTGCTGACAGTTTATTACATTTTGCTATGTGTATATGGATCGATATTTCACTATAATTGACAATATGCTTTTGTCTGTCCACTAACTAAATAAACATGTATGACCTTGTTATCACATGACATTACAACCAATCATGTTAAAATTGGCTATTTATTGGTTCATGTGTATTAGCCATTTTCATATATACTTTGCATTGTACGCTTATATACTTTTTTGTGTTTTCCTACGTTCGTACCATTTCACTCACACACTAGTGTGACATTTATTTTCCTTGTCTGGAAAATACAAGTATCATCGTAAACCTGGTGGTCTTCTGATTTCCCTCTTTCGCGCGTCAGGACTATTAACTACTCGACGAGTACATAACAGAAATGCAATTAAAAACTAAAATATTTGTGATTATAATCATAGTTAAATGTCAAGTGGCAAAATAATTAATGTCATATATGTAGAATAATACATAGGATGGATAGAACTGGAAAAGGGTGAGCAATTATAGGATTAGTAGACAAATCGATTTTACCATATAAGGATGGGGACATCTGACACCCTCCCTATGTAGGATTCTTAATAAAGCAGGATTTAGTGG